TGCCGAAAGCCCGTTTCGGGCCGGTGGCGACAGTAGGTTGAAGATAGGTCCCGCTTTTTCTGCCAACTTGGGTATGATACATGAGAGGGAGGCCAACCTGCCTGCCAACATTTAGACGTCTTTGACAGTTTGGGGACTCTGCATCTTTATGACAGCTTTGCATTTTTTAGGGTTAGCCTCAATTCCCCTGTTTGTAATCATAAACCCAAGAAACCTTCCTCCTTGGACCCCGAAAACACACTTCTCGGGGTTTAAGCGCATGTTATGCTTTCTTATTTGGCTGAACACTTCGGCAAGGTCAGTTACATGTGATAAGGCCGATGTGGTTTTCACGACCATGTCGTCTATGTAAACTTCCATGATCCTCCCAATTTGTTGATGGAAGACCTTGTCCATCAATCATTGGTAAGTGGCTCCTGTGTTCTTAAGGCCGAAGGGCATCACGCGGTAGTAGAAGTTGGCCTGATCGGTAATAAAGGTTGTGTTCTCCTCGTCTAGTGGGTACATCATGATCTGATTATACCCAGAGTATGCTTCGAGGAAACTAAGAAGAGCATGGTCGGAGGCTCCATCAACCAACCTATCAATGCTTGGTAAGGGGTATGCGTCTTTCGGGAAAGCCTTGTTTAAGTTAGTGTAGTCGACGCACATACGCCACTTTCCTGAGTTTTTCTTGACAAGAACCACATTGGCTAGCCACGTGGTGTATAGTACCTCTCGGATGAAGCCTACACTCATCAGCTTCTGAGTTTCAGCCATAATGGCATCTCGTCGTTCTTCTCTGACTTTTCATTTTCTTTGAGCCACTGGTTTGCTTCTTTGTGGATCGCCAACCTGTGATAGATAAGATTAGGCTCTATACCTGGCATGTCGGCACTTGACCATGGGAAGAGGTCAACATTTTTAGAGATCTGGGTGATAAGTTGCTTTTGCAGCTCTAGGCTCAGCCGTTGGCTTATCTTTGTGCATTGCTCGGGTAGTTTGCCGATCTAAAAATCGATTAGGTCGTCAATAGAACTTGGGCAGTTGTCATTGGACTCTGACCTTGGATCAAGGTCGGTGACTTTAGCCTGAGCTATATGAGCCACGGTGGGGGTGTCACCTTGGCTTTGCTTCTCGGCTAGGGGTGATGACGCTTTTAGACTTTTTGCGTAACACTGCCGAGCTATTCTCTAATTTACCATGATAAAGATTATCTGGCCGTTGTTCCCCGGGAACTTCATCGTCAAATGTGGGGTGGATACTACGGCTCCGAGTTGGTTCAACGTTGGTCTTCCTATGATGATGTTATATGATGTGTTGGCATCAACGAGAAGATATCTGACCATTGTTCTTCTCTAGTTGGGAGGTGCTCCGAAGGTTGTTAGGAACTCTATGTAACCATGAGTGTGGACTCATTCACCTGCAAAATTGACTAGGGGTTCTGTATGAGGTTGGATGAGAGTATAGGGGATGTCTAACCTCAAGAAAATTGGCCAATATAAGACGTTAGTCGAGCTCCCTTGGTCAATTAATGTCTTGTGGATCTCTCAGTTGGCTACTTCAACCGCAATGACCATGGGATCATCCTGGTTTGAACAGATGCTGACGTAGTCGTCATCTGTGAAGGTGATTGGCGGCATGTTGCACGGAGAGTTGAGGTGCCAATGTGGACATTGTTAATACTTCGTAGGTGTCTTTTGCATGCTGAGTTGCTTAGGTCGCCTCTGTAAAATCCACCTGCAATTGTGTTAATGACTCCTCGTAGAGGAGGCATTTCTATGTTTTGACTTACCACGGGTTTTCTTATTGTATCGACATTTTGTCGGGATCCAGAAGGTTGGTCGACTTGAAAGTTGGCACCTCGGCCTCGTCCTCATCCTTTACCTTTTCCTTGGTAGCCGCCTTTGTGAGGTTGGGACCTTTAGACGTATTGTCCGAGGTGTTCACCTTGGACAAGCTCCTCAATTTGGTCTCTGAGTGTTCAACATTCCTCGATTGTATGACTGTAATTCTTGTGGTAGCGGAAGTGTTTTGTCCTTTCAGCACTGTTAAGGTTGTGCCTGGGTAGTGGTAGGGTAATTAATTCGGCATTGCTAGCCTCTTCTAGGATATGCACTCGAGGCGCATTCAAGGGAGTGTAAAAATCATACTTTCCACCCCTATTCTACCGAGGTCTCTTGAATTGAGTATCATTCGAGGTTTTCAGCTTGTCCTTGTGACCTTGGTCTTGCTTTCCTTGCGATTTTCCACGAATTGTCTCGCAGAACGCGGCATGCTCCTCCATTTGGATGTACCCAACAACACGAGCATGGAGCTTGTCCATGTCGGGAGGAGGTCATCGACAAAGGCTGTTGATAAAGGGTCCTGGTTTCAATGCCATGAGCATGGAGTGCAAGGTGACTTCAAGATTAAGGTTATGTATTTGGATGAACACATTGGCAAATCGCTCCATGAATTTTCTTAACGACTTATTCTCGCCCTGCCTGAGGTTGGCCAGGGTGGTAGACGTGATGTGATGAGGTCGACTCGTCACGTATTGTGCTATGAATCGTCTCATCAAGGTCTCAAAATTATCGATTGATCCTATTGGTAATTGAGTGTACCAAGTGAGTGCGGGGCATTTCAACGAGGTTGGGAAAACCCGACACATTAGGGCGTCGTCATTGGTGTACAAATTCATCTGTGTGACGTACGCGTAAATGTGCTCATCTAGATCGGAAAATCCGTCATAATGGTCGATGTTCAGAGGCTTCCAACCCAAGGGGAGAGGTGTCCCCATGATGTCGTCGACAAAAGGATGGCGCCTGACACCTAGCCAATGTGTGAGAGCTTGGGTGGTTGCATGGATGACCTCGTAGTCAGAGCGATGCGTGGGCGCATGTGACCGATGTGTCATTGGTGGCGGCGAGGGTGATTGGTGTTCCTCCTCATGATGATTTCTCTGCTAAGGAGGTTGGTTAGGGGGTTGTTGGTGAAGTTGGGCATGGATGTGCTCGTTTTTCGCGCGTAGGGCCGCCAGGTCGACTTAGTGCTAGGCGCGCATGGGTTCAAGGGCTTCAGTATTTTCCTTTCGCATTTGTTTGATTTGGTCGATCAAGCGTCAAAGCGTCGCGTCTCCTTCCATCCTTGACACGTTCTGATTTGTGTCGTCTATTACTCTTCTATTATGGCTTCAGGTAGAAACCATAAGATTGGCAGAAAAAAGGGAATTCCTTTCGGCCCCACGGAGGGCCCCAAGATATTCTCACCTGAGATTGGTCCGGTGACAATCTCTCTGATGAGATTGGTGAGCCTCCAGTGGTTCGCAGGTTGGCCGCTCCAATGATGGTGTGGTACCTGAAAAAGAGACTCTGATGCTTAAGTTAATTCTTGATAGTGTAAATGTCTCGTATATATAGCAGGCGTACCTTGATGATTTTAGGGTTTTTATTGTCTACCAGCACATTGGCCATTTTAGGGTTTTACCTTGTGATTGCGGCGCGGTGACTGGATTATTTATACTTTTATCCTTCTAATGACGTAGCCTCTTTGGGCCGATGTGATACTCTGATGTCTATGTTTCATGGCCGAGCTTAGTAGCTCAGCAATAATGAGTTCACTGCTTAGTCAGGTTTGTAAACTTTTGACCGAGTTTGACAACTTGGCAAGGGAACCGAGTAATGTAAGAGCGAATGGGCTTCTGAGGAGCTCCCAAGTTTTCTATTTAGTCAGGTCGGTAGACCTTTGGTCGAGTTTGGCAACTTGGGAAGAGACAAGTTCGGTACTTGGCTAGTGATGGAAGAGCATGGGCTAAAGGCCCAACCACTATAGCTATGGCCAGGAGATTACTTGAAGACTCGTCTACTTCAGAGCTTAGTGGGCCCAATGGGCTTGGTGGGCCTAGGGTGCTTCTCACTTGGACCTTACTTGAATAAACACCATGTTTTATAGCACATTTTTAGAACAGGAAGTTATTTTGCTTTGGTCTTGTATTTTGACCATAGATTAGGGTTTTTGCTTTTGGGCTTGTATTTGGGCTTCTTGGGCTTTGGGCTTTTGATACCCAATATTAGGCTCATTCTTCTTCTTGTAATTTTTCCTATTCATTGTATTTCTTTGACCAATGTATTTAGGTCATTAGATTAGGTTTATACGAAGTATACATTAATAGGTGCATTAGGAATCATTTTTATGTCATTTAGAAGTTATTTGATTTGAATTTGAGTCACATGGATTGCATGGTGAGGACCGACCATGTGAACCCTAAATTCAAATCCAATTAGCTTCCAAATGACATTAAAATGAAGGTGGAATCTGGATTAGTCACATGATTGGCCAAAGTTTGAATTTCAAATTCAAATTTGAAATTCAAACTTGGCGCCAATTACACTTTCTCGGATTGGCGCCACTCTAGCTTAGCTTCCACCTATTAATGTATATTTCATGCCTTGTACTCTCACTTTTGAATATATTGAATTTCTGAATCATTCTTCAGCAATTCCTCAAGAGTCACCGAATTAGAGAGAAAGAGAGAGTGCCTTCAAAACCTTAGGACTTACCTAGTTCCTTCCTTTTGAAGTGAGCAATCTCTTGATTGCTTAAGCTTGGATACTTCCTTCCAAGGCTTAGGCCTTCCAATTCGAAGAAGTTCTTCCTTCTAAGAGTATTTGATTTCGGTCACAAGTTTCCTTGAAGTGGATCCGAGCTTAGGAGAAGCTAAGGAGAGGTTCATCCGTCACTTCTCTCACCTTCTCCATTATTTTTGGTATCAAGAGCAAGGTTCTTCAAGGAGATAAGTTCTCTTGTGTTTTGTCCGATTGTTTTGTTGTTTGTGTACTCTTGTATGTCTTCTTTGAGTTTCTATTCGGATCTAATTGTTTTGAAGTAAATTTGTTCCATAGATCCATTGTTTGATTGTTCTTGATTTCTTCCACAATCAACATGTTTAGGACTTATTTGCTTGTGCTTATTTTTGATTTTATTTGAGTCTCTCCATTTCTTGTATGTGTCCATGATTGGAGCTCATGCATTTGCATTAGATTTTGGTTTTTAATCCTTGTTTTGTCTTAGAGTTTGTGTTTAGTCCTTATATGTTATAAAATTCCTTGAATAGCATGTTAACCTAATTTTTTCTTTTGAGTGCATTGTCTATATTGTTTGGTCTCGGTTTGTGTAATCTTTTGCCTACCTATATGTGCTTTTTATTTTACCTTATTGAGTTCATAATTTGCTATTAGTTCTAGCAAATTTCTTTAGAGTTAGGTTTCCTTTGTGTACTTAAGTTTTCAAATCACTTCCTATTGAAAATTCTTGAAAAAAAAATTTGTGTTGCTTAAATTTTCAAGTGCTTAATCCTACTTCTAGTGCACTATCTTTTTGGATTCAAATTTTAAAAGCATAGAGGCTGAAAAACAGAGGAAAATACAGAGCCTATTGTTCAAATAGTTAAAAAAAAAAAAGTGAACAAAAGAATCCATTACAAAAACCTAAAAACTAGTGCACTAGTTTCATCATTTTTTCACTTGAATTTGGATCAACTTGTAGTCTTGGTTTCTATATCTTGGAATTGTGAAAAATTTGAAAAAAAAAAAGGTAAATACCTTCTCTGGAATCTTAATTTGAATTCAGAAAAAGAAAGAATAAAAATATATATATAAAGCAATTTAAAAGGAAAAAGCCGAGAAGAGTACAAACTAGAAAAATTCACTTGATTCCTTGATTTTCTTTAGACTACTACTTTGTGTATACTTATCCAATTGCTTTCAAAAAAAAATTGTGTTGTTAATCTACTCTAGTACCTGTCTAGGAACCTTCCTAACTGAGTGCTAACTTTCTTTGGAGTCTTATTTTTCAGTTTTATTTGTTGGACCTCTTTGAGTTTTGTCATATACACATTACTCTTCATTATTGGTATAAGCTTCTTAAATTGTGCTTTTGTTGCTTGTTTGTTTTCTTTCATTAAAATTTCTGTGCTGGAAGTGGCCTCAAATCCTTGCTTAAGGATCAAGCATTGACTCAACAAAAAGAAGGAATAGTTTTGGACATTAAGACTACAAAATTTGACCTAATTTAGTGACCAAACTCTTCCTAAACTTCCTTCACATGAGTGACCTTTCCTTTCACCTTGTGAGCTGCCTACATTAACCATTTTTGTTGTGTTCATTGTGCAGGTCCAGGAGAAACTTAATTCAAGGGTTAGTGGCGGATTAAAACACTTGGACAAGTGTTAGAAACATTGGACAACAAATTCGTCCCTAATTTGGTCACAAAAGCCGCCATTATTTGCTTTCTAGGTTAGTTTAAATTTTGTCAATTCTCTTGTATTTTTAAATCAATTTGTAAAGCTTGGAGGGAGTATTAAGAAGCTGGTCAGGTATATCTAACCCTTGGTAGCCTACTCACGTGTAGTACTAGTGGAAGTGGCTTGGAAATTTCATATGTTTCAAGCTTCCACTTAGGGCAAACCGACTAGTTGCTTATCCTTGCTTCCTTTAAGTTTCTTGTCTTTAATTTGTTTACATTGCTGCCCTAATTTGTCTAGCATTGTGTAGCTTTTATTTGTTTACGCTTAGTTAGCTTTAAAAACAATTTGTGAAAAACATATACATAAAAAATTTTGTGAAAAGTTTTGGGGAATTGAAAATACCACAAAGGAGTTTAGTGATTTCCACTTGAAAAGGCTTGGTTATTAAGTGGCTCTTTGTAGCTCACCTCCCTTGATAGTGCAATTTGTACACTTAGACTTCCAAGTGCTATTTTTGTTCCTAGAAAATACCAAAAACATTTTATCTCTTTTGCATAGCATATAAACTTCTTATTGCCTAATGATGAGTCATATTTCTCATAGTGATAGTGATGTTGAATCTCCTAAAAGTTTTAATCAAATTGTTAAGGAGGTTGAAGCACTAAAACTATGGAGACAACAAGAGGTACTTCAAAAAGAAAGAGAAAAGATTGAAAGAGAAGTACAACTTGTTGCTCTTGAGGAAGAGATCAACAAAATTAAGCAACAAGAAGAAAAACTTTTAAAAAAATTGAGAAAAGAAAAAGTCAAAAAAGTTCTTCAAAAAGCTCAACCAAGAGTTCCAATGACTCTTTAAGCCAAGAGAATGAGGGTAGTAGGAATATTGATGCTTATTACCAACCCAAGCCTAGAAGAGTCATTAGGGAACCCAAAGTGAGGGAATCAAGGGTTGATCTCCCTTACTTTCATGGTAAAGAGGATGTTGATGCCTACTTGGATTGGGAGATGAAAGTGGAGCAAATCTTCACTTGTCACCAAGTAGGTGAAGAAAGAAAAGTTTCCCTAGCCACCCTAGCTTTCCAAGGACAAGCTATGTATTGGTGGACATCCTTGGAGAGAGAGAGA